CACACACACACACACACACACACACACACACACACAGCGCACAAACGTGGCCAACCTTGCGTCTTCTACGATATTGCCGACATACACCTTTTTTTATTTCAGGGATGGTTTATGATGGATTGTGGATGGAATGAGAGGGAGAGTTTTTTTTTTTTTTTTTAAACACACATTCCGGTCTTGCTAGCTCTGTGCCGTGCTAGATTTGAGCAGTTAGGATCGGGCTCGTACTAGTGAGCAAGTCTTCTTTTGTGGTTGACTGTCCTGTTCTCTCTTTTTTTTTGTTTGTTTGTTTGGGTGGTTGGATGTTTTGTTGGTTGTTTTGTTGATTATACATGGCCTAATTCTTTTCCATCCTTGGGTAAAGCATCGGCCGTTTCTTGATGAAGGAATGTCTGTGGGTGGCTACAACCTTTTTTGGGATGGAAATGAAGGTATAAGGAGTTTTGGCCTCGGTATCTTTGCGAGGAGGCTCATGGAGTGTCTTCTGCTGTGGCTGTCATTCCCACAGGCTGCTCTTTTGGAGCACATGGAAGAAGAAGTGGGGGGCTTCTAGGAGTGATAGCCACAGCAGAGAGATGGAGTGATAGAGATGTGATAGCCACAGCAGAGAGATGAAATGGGGAATCGTCTAGGAGTGATAGCCACAGCAGAGAGATGAAGCTTCTAGCTTGCAGTGTTTTAAGCTGTAGAGCTCCTTGTGGCACGGGGAGATCTCACGCGAGTTTGGGATTCTGGCCCTCTATACACTCCAGGGGTTAGACAGCGAAGAGATGGAGTGATCGAGATGTGATGGTGATGTGAGCGAGTCGCATGTCAGTGTTGTTGTATTGTACTTGTGTATTTAGTCTAGTCTTGTGGATTTGTGGACCGACTCAATGGGCTCTCCAAGTCTTTTCAGACAATTGGGGGATGTGGTCAGTGTTTTCTTGCTGGTGGAGCCTTCTGTGTCGAGTATGTTGCCTTTTGCCCTCCATCGTTTAATGGACTATAAAATATCTGCATACATAGTGCAACTGTGCCCGCTTCAACGGCACACGGGCGTGCGGGCCCTTGGCGCTTATATATACTACACAAACATGGCCTACGATATTGCCTATTTATACCTGTCTTTTGTTTCATGGATGGTTTGTGATGATCTGTGGATGGGATGAGAGAGAGAGAGTTTGGTTTTTCTTGAAACACACACACACACATACACGCGCCCGACCCTCCGGCCCCAGACTCACCCCCCTAATAAGACGCCCTGCACCCCTATAACCCCACATTTGACCCGGGAACCAGCACCCCACCCACCTCCCCCAGACTTGCACCATAAGATGAAACCCGGCATCCAC